GGCGAGGTCTATCGCAATAGTTTAATTTTTCTATCGAGAAAAATGTATTTCGCAATACATATCGTTATCGTTTTATCGCCCAGCTCTACTACACAGTTAGCTCGCTAGCTCATGTTTCATTGGCTTTTTTCTTTGACCTCTCCTTCTAACTTGATACAGAGAAAAGATGCAGGAGGAAAGAACTGAGGAAGCTAATAAACTTTAATGTGCAATTTTTGAGACTGCATTTATTAAGGAAAAATGTTGTACAAATATGTATTTTTAAAAATGGACAAATACTTTTCAGAACAATGTAATTTAAGCTAGCCTAGCTATTTCAAAATGTTTAAGAATATCTATCTATCTATCTATCTATCTATCTATCTATTATTTAAAATACTGATTTAAGAGTTAACCATTTCCTGACTTATTTTTCCTTTATGCTGCCTTCATGTTAAAAGTGAGTCATTGATGCTTTTTAGCTTTAGCATAACCTTTAGCATAGCAAAATGCTAAAAGCAGAAGGAGGACCTGGCTATCGCACACCTTTGCTTTTCCTTTTCATTATTAGCAAGCGAGCTGTAATACACAAATTATGTGTATTAAAGCCAATTTATTTAAGATGGACTTGATCTTTAATTTCAGTCACAGGTGGAATCTCACGGATAAAAACAAAAACAGTACATGTGAATGTCCTCTCTGATGTGTTACAGCGAGACAGATGACAGCAGCAGTATACCGATGCCTGAGAGGACAGAGGTCAGCCCTAGCGGCAGGAAACCCTCCATCCACCTCACCCTGCCTGACTTCCAGGACACCTCCACTGGTCTGTTCTCTCGCTTGCTCAAATCTTTTAGAAACGACATGTCACTGTGCATATTTGGATTGCAACATGCCGAATTGATTAGTTTAAGTTAAACACATCCTGCTCTCTCTATGGCTTTGGGTAAATAGCAGTGAGAAAGGTGAATTTGTAGGTCAGTCTAAATCCCCCAGCTTTTGACCTATTCTGGATTAAAAGCCCTGTTTGCTTGTCTGCAACCCAGTTCCGGAAACCAGATGTGCTGTTTAAATATCAATGATGTGACTCACACCTGTGTTTAGAGAAGGATCTGCAACCTGCACATTTAGTGTTCAGGGATTCAGGACATTATAGTTACTGGCTTTGAAATATTTTACTTTTTTTTTTCTCTACGGAAGAAAACACAGTTTCTGTCTGCTTCTCATCAATGCTAACATATGCATATTCATTGTTCAGGTTGTAAATCACCACTTTAGTGTTTAGTTGGTTTAATGTGCAAGATGAGGAAACATTTGCAGCACTAACAGCTCCCATTTCTTACCTATGATCCTGCTTCAGGTTCACAAAGTCCTTCGTCAGTTGCACTATCCCGTCTTGAAGCGGCTCTGTCCGAGGTGTCAGACCTCAGCTCTACCCGTCGCCATGGGCCCACCTATATTTGGACCATCCTGGAACGCATTTGGCTGCAGGCTGGTATGAGAGCGCACACTTGAATGAAAATGATATTTCAGGAATTATTGTGGTTGGGATCTTTTGGGATTTGAACCTCTTTTCATCCTCATCTGAGATACAAGGTCAGCCCATATCGTGAAACCATGTTGGGGTCCATGAGCTTTAACTTACTGGTGAACTAAAAATGAAATAAAGACAAAGCTTGCATTAACTTTGCTGGACAAATGAATCAGATTCAATGTTTTATCCTAGTGATCTGAAGCCCAACAGTAAGAAACCATTTTAGTCATCCGGGTTTTTTTTTTCAAATAAAAGCTATGAAGTAGACAACGAGGCCACAGCTCAGCAAAGCATGACAGTGTTTTCATGAGCAGCACCTGTCTGCTAAAACACCATGCTAACACGTTAGCTGATAGATTACCTTGTTCACACTGCTGGTTCAGTATACTGGCATGCTAATGTTTATCAGTAAGCACTAAAGCCAGTCTGTAGCTCATGTAAAAAGATTGCAAAAAGATTGTGACTCGAGTCACTAAAGCCCCTTTTCCATTAGTACCTACTCACCCAATGAGAGTGGTTGTTGTTATAGTAATGTGTCCAAGCGTCCCGTGACGTAATTAGCATGATCCACGAACGCTTAAACAAAGGTGGATGTCGACGCAACAGTATACCTGCTGGTTGGTCTGTAGCTTTTCGTCAGACTCGGGGACCACGGCGTTGTTGGTGGTTTTGATTTCCGTGAAGGAGATGCTCTCATGGCTCACTGAGTGATTCCCCGACCAGCCAATTGTTGGCATGCAGTCTGATGATGTCACATTTTAGTACCTGCTCAGATCGCTTATAACCCCGGCCGAGCAGGTACTATTTTAGTATCTGGTACCAGGTACTGTTATCTAATGGAAAACCCTTAAACCGTAGTGAACCGTGCCGAGTCAATCCGAGTGGGTACTAATGGAAAAGGGGCTTTTAAGCAAAATGAATGACTGAAGCAAATTACTGGTAAACTGTTTGATAGTTATTGAAAACCTAAAACTTACATTGTTGACTTCATGCTGAGGCAAATATTAGGGGACCTTCAAAGTAAGTAGTCTTCATCCTGTGGCAACCATAAAAAATTCTGTGGTAGTCCTTTCAGTGAACTTCGACCAATGTCATAGATCTGCCTCACTTTCTCTAGATGATAATGACAACAGAGAGCAATCACATCCACGTCGAACGTGTGGAGATTTTAGTTCCTTTATGCTACTATGCACTGTAAAAGGAGCATTTGAGTTGTAGTTCACATAATGTAGTGTTATAAATAATTGTCCATGATGCTCTGTTAATTTAGAGCAGCTTGAGGCATAAATCATACAGTGTGTGGCAGTCTAAGAAGTTATCTAAGCACTGTGCGTAGGTCTTTCTGGTGATGTCACAGAGCAGTACCAGTACCTGATACCACAACAGGGCATACTTTTCAAAATAAAACAGGAAGTAACTGGAAATGGCAACTGAGTTAACTCACTCAGACACCAGATGCAAATGTGTCTTTACAGTAATTGCCTCAATAGCTATTGAAACATTCGACTATGTGTCAGTGATGCCCTCACCAAAGAAATCCAGGTAACCCTACAGTAAATACAAATACAATCTCCGCTGGCACCTTTTAATGAATGTGCGATGTTGCAATGAAAGAAAGCTGTGCAGCCTCGCTGTCTTCCAACGCCTTGCTGACCTGTTTATCAGCTCAGATGAGTTTCAGTCGCTCAAGGGAGTGAGACACTGTTTGTGCGTTCGGTTCATTGTGAGCGTGCGTTTTTGTTTCGGGCACAACAGTCACTGAAATTCTCAGAGAATATTAATTTTGCTACATGCGAAACCCTGGAGAACGCAGCATTACAGTATAGCAGATTTTTGGAAGAGAATATCTATTTGCAGGCTTGTTGGTGTTTAAAATGAAATAGCTGAATAGTTGACACTGACGTGTCTCAGTGCTTAAATACATTTGGCCACTGCTCTGTTAAGGAGACAATGCTCAGTTATCCATATTGCTGTTGCCTCCACCCTTCTTCAGCCTGCCTGAGGAAGTTCACATAAAAGAGCAGAGCATGAGCAGGAAATGAAGGCCGAGGATCTGTTGCACTTGGCTTGAGTGGATGAGCCATGAGAGGCAAGAATGGAAATGCACACAGCGAAGATGCCTTTGCTGTATTCGATGCTTTACGACACAAGAGGGGTTGAATGGAGCCAAGCGGTCACGTCCCCCGTGGCTTTGTGTAATCTGAAGGTTATTTTCTATGTGTAACCTCTGAGCCTCTGCTATTCATCTGCTGAGAGCAGTGTGTGTGTGAGAGAAACCAAGGGTGTGGCCCCTGGCTCAAGGCTGGACACCAATCCCCCCCCCTTCATTCTTTCATAGCATTCCTCTTCTCATCGGTCACTTCCTCTTCTTATCTTACATTCTCTTTGGCCTAACAGAAAAACGCACACACACACACGGCTCTTTAAAAGGAATACATTTAGCAGTATGCGAGACTCACATACTTAGCTCTAAACATATAAATATTCTCTGTGCATGCAGGCACTGATCTAACAGTTTTTTCCTATGAGCAGCAGGAGAAAGTCTTACATAATCGCTCACTGAAACCTTTTTCCCCAAAATGAAGCCATGAAAAGGAACCCTGAGGCAGCTGAAAAGGGTTTTTGTTTTTTTTCTTCCATTTTTTTGTTTTCTCATCTCGCAGAGGTAGCATGCGTGCACTAAGTATTTCCCATCTGTGCATCTCTGAGACACAGGTAAACAAACAAAACATCCGCTACCAAACACACACATGGGTTCTCTGCACTCGGGAGCAGACGGCTCTCTCGATGTATTTGCACAACAGCCCTCTCTGTAACACGTGCGCACAATGCTGTCAGTGTTTTAGAGCTGAAGGGTTTCCTTCTCAGGGTTTCTCTGCCTGTTGACCCAATGTCCTCTCACGTAAATGATTGACAGGTCTCGCTGAAGCGTCCGGTCCGCACATTGGTCTGCTCCAGCTGAGGGGGCAGGTCCTGTGGTCAGCTCTTATTTTTGAGGTCTTATTGGAGAGTAAAGTGCTTGTGGGCGTGATTCTGACTTTGTGTGTGTAAACATTTGTGTGTGGGGTTTGTCCTCATCTTCCCAGCAGCAAAGAAAGGAGGCAGGCAGCTTTAATATGTGATGGCCATATTAGGCAACAGCTTCATGACTTTCAGCCACTACATCGCTCCGACTCTCACTTTCATGGTTTGCGTGTGTGTTTGTGTGTGTGTGTGTGTGTGTGTGGTTGTGTGTAGTATTTGAGCACTGCACAGATATTATTTTTACATGATGCTGCTGAACTCACAGCAAAGTTCATCACAGTCACTGTCACAGGGTTACTCAGGGCATTAATACTCTTATTCTCCTCTTTTTCTTTCTCTGGCTCTCCATCTTTGCTTCATCACTTCCTTGCTTTTATTGTTTTCCCTCCTCTGTCATTCTGTCCTTTTTCTTTCCCCCCTCCACCTCTTTTCCTCTCTTGACCTTTTCACCTCCTTTCTTTACTTCTCTCTCCTTGTCATCCTGCAGGAGAGCTGTTCATGGCAGACAGTCGGCTTAAGGAGGCTCAGTTCTGTATAGCCGAGGCCAGTTCGCTCTTCCCCAACTCTCACTCTGTGCTGCTGCAGCGGGGCCGCCTGGCCGAGCTCCGGGGCCACCTGGACGAAGCCAAAGGCCTGTATGACGAGGCCCTGGCCATGCATCCTACAGGAGAACGGATACTGGTGCACACGGTGAGAGACAGCGGATGCTTTAGAGGCTGCAAAATCAAGTTAGAACTTATGTAACGCTCTGCTCTTTCAAGTGTCACACATGCAAACATGGTGTTCAGTATCCTCTCTCACAAACATGCACACAAACACATGATTGGCTACAGTGACATGTTTAAATGCTATAATTGAGTAAATTAAATCAAAACTGATGTAATATGCAAGTGGAACATGTGCAAACACTTATTTGATGTCTGCTAAAAACACACACACACACACATATATTAATGAAATATTTTCAGTACTTTTAGTTGACTGAGCTAAGTTATATAAAAGTGTACTTCATGCGAGATCTTTTACATTTGGACTTGCTGTGGATTAGCTCACACGCTCTGACTCAGACAGTGTAGGGCTGTTTAATGAAGTTAAACGTTTTCTCAAAATTCACCAAGTTAAATTACGTCACAGTTAAATTGCATCAGCTGCCTTCAGCCTTCATAAACACGCCTCCCAAAGAGTAGGAAAAGGCTTTCCTCGCAACAACACCGCAATACGTGTAGATAAAAGTACATTTCAGAGGACTTTTGTCAGTCAGACTAAACCATGTCCCACTGTGGTCACATGTTCTTATATACACAGTAGCAACATGGCAGTGTGCGCACACATTTTTAATTTGATATTTAAACAATTTTTTGAGTTATTATATAGATTTTAATCCATCTGATCAAACAACTAAAGACAGGACTCAAGACACAGATGAATTTGAGCTCTTAGCACTTTTATATTCAGTTACTGTATTAAACTATAACCTATACACTGTATTAACAAAAGTAATCACTCACCCATCCAAATCATTGAATTCTTGTTTTCCAGCCACATCCACTGGCTGACCTCATCAATGTGCTTCTGGGAGAACGGTCAAAAACTTCAATAAAGCCTTCCCAGATTAAGCTGTTATATCACATTTCGACATCATTTTAAACTCTATAGATTATGAATGTGACGTCAGTCAAGCTCATATGTGTGTGAATGCAGACGAGTGAATACTTTTGCCAGTATAGTGTACATAAAATGAAGCGGCTGCGGATTTACTTTAAACCTGCAAACCAGCAGGCGGCGACTGCTCTGAATGCAAAAATGAAGACAGATTCTGTTGTGGTTTCTCACAGGGTGTGATTTGCACATTGCATGAGAGCTGTCTGCCGTGCTGGATGTGGTACAATCACTGGCTGATAGAGAAGAATGTGCATTTGCCCGACTGGTTGGCAGTGGTTCCTAGAGGTTGCTGGCTCTCACTGGGTGAAATCGGATTTAAAGAAGGTGCTCCACCAAAAAAACAAAACAAAAAACCCTACAGTGATTGCTTTGGTTGCTAACAGATTGCTACAGTTGGCTGCGTTTGTCTGAAAAATCTTGCAAACTACTAGGCGAGTCATAGTACAACTTAAAAAAGTGTGGCACAAATCAGAAATGGAGAAGGTTCACTTTCAAAGTAAAAGTTTTGCTCCACAGATACAGTCATGTTTAAGGAGTTTTACTTCTTAAACACGACTGGTGAACAGTCTCCATTTCCTGTTTGTTTTGCACTTTTCACAGTTTCATTAGAGCTCGGAGAGTAGCTGTGTTTGTAGACAAGGACTTTGCTTCCATTCAAACTACAACCACTGCATTATGTTAGCAAGCAAAGCAATAACGAGGATGTTTTCACCAACCCATGCAGGAACACACATTTCTCCCTAGTGACAGATGGTTGCCAGGAGGAACACTTTCCATCTCTATGATTATGTGACTTCCTAGCGACTCCCATCAACCTGCAGCAACCACTTGCAATCATTCAAGGAATTTTCCCCTTGTGATGGGTGCTTGCCACATACTCGTGGACCTGTCTGTACATGTTCTTACTCCCAAAGTGTAACATTTTACGCTAGGTGACAAATCGTCGATATGTTACGCTTCCGGGCACCCAACATGTCCCTATATTACGAGATCGGAAAAATGAGGAAACATGAGAACCATTTGGAATGAATCTACACATGCTTGTTCATTTTACTTAAATCGCTTTGTAAAACACTATCTAACGTCATTAAAGTTCTGGTTAACGTTAGGGATAAGGTTAGGGTCAGGGCTGGAATACATGGCTGGAACGAGTCATTCTACTGGATTTCATCCATAACCAGGCGTGTAGCATAAGAACGCAGAAGGTTTTGCGTTCGCCTCTTGAGTGACAACGGGCTGGTCTGTAGGCCAGTATGACTGGCTTTTTCTTTTCATTTGAGCTTAAATTGTTGATTGTCACACGTCAGAAATGGTGGAAGAGTAACGTCACGTGGTTAGAGGTTATGCATCTGCAAAACCTAAGTAGGAATCTGTGTGAAAGCAGCCCTCAGCTTCATCTATGACCTCAGAACACTTTCCTGACGAGTTTATGGTCTCATAGGCACAGCTTGAAGCTTCACAGCAGGACAGCAAACCAGTGGGTGATGTTGCCTTTATCATAAAGGCTATAATTGTAACAGATGCTTATTAGCTGCTAATATTAGCAATGGTAGCTTCTTTGCTCTTTTAGAAGCAAAACAAATCCCTCATGTTTCAAACGGCTGTAGATTATATTAGCCTCAGAAACTTAGTTGTACTGCAAGTTAATTTGGAATTTTCTTGTTTAACTAAGCGCATTTTTTAAAGTTTGCCATATGCTGCTAATAGTACTTACACTGTTATAAGTATAGTACACTTATACTGCCTCATACTGTTCATACTGTAATCGTGTAGTCTTTCTCTCCTCTGTGGCGTGCTGTACTGTGTCATTGTCAGAACTCTGAGTGGTTCAGTCCTGTTTATCGCGGTGCGTTGCTGTCGTCCTCTGAGACGTGCCAATTTGTTGCAGGCAAACCTGAAATTTCAGAAAATAGAAGCAAACAAATTTCGCTCCATCACCAGCAAATGAAAAATAGCGCTTAAAGACTCACTCTCTCTTTCCTGATCACTCCCCCACATTTCTTTCATCCCAGCAGATCCTCTTTCTCTCTCACTGCCGCACTGTAAAGATCCTCTCTCGCCCACTTCCACCCACTCCCTCGCTTCTCTCTCGCTCTCTCAGTCTGTCTTCCAGATGATCCACAGGATTAACCACAGCTCTTCTGACCTTTGAACTGACTCTGTTGTCACAGTGAACGAACCAGAGAGGGATATTCCTCAAATCCAAGACGCAGCACTCGACACTCACACACACACACTCACACACAATGACTGCGGTCTCCATAGTGACCGGAGATGTGCTGGCTGATATCACTTTAGCCTTCTTGTGACCACATAAGGCTAGTGCTTTTGCTCCTACAGCGCACTTTTGGATGCATGTGCGTGTGTCTGTGTGCGTAGAAGTGCAGTCCCACTGGGTTAGACAGAGGTACGCTTCTCTTCCATATTTGGCCTGTGGGAGAACCAATCCCAGGGGGTGAGAAGTTGAAACAAAGCCAGCTGGCAGCGTCTGTCTCTGGGTCTCTTACAGGACAGATGTGTTCTCAGTCTGAGTGTTTGAGTACGTGTACGCATGTGCATGTGTTTAGGCATGACTGTGTTTGTGTATGCCAGCCTTCCTCCACGGATTTGGAGCACATGTGGACTACTTGGGCTTGCTTTTTTTAAGTAAACTATATGTGTACACTTGGACAGAGGCACACATTGTAATAGGCACAAATTGACCCAAATACAAAAATTCTGCTTGTAGAACACTAAAGTTTATGGACTATACTATGTTAGGCATGCTAATGGAGGCTTGCAGTAAATAACTGCATTCTTGCATTGTTATGGAGCCTGTGGGACAATGTGTGGGACATTTTATTTGGAGCTTTGCCCATATTTGTGACTTGCATCAGCCGGCCAGAAATGAGCCTACAGTTACTCTGTGGTGCTGTGCGGCTCTGCGTTCATCCATTTATTTTTACACAGTATCTGCTGTGGATATTTTGTGTGCCAGTGGCCCATTTTCTGCTGTGCCTTAAGGGGAATTCTTAAGATATTCTTGGTAGATATTCTTACACCTCAGTTATTATTCTGCAAAAGTACCTACTGTACTTTCCATGAATGTCCTTAAGATGTTTTCATGGTAACTATACTTTATAGATGTCACATTTCTGTGGCTCAACAGTTAATGTGATCTGATATTTATTGTGGAAATGCAATTTCATTAGGAGCCTGTTTACAAGTGGTTTCCGTGGGCTTATCATGCGTGCTCAGTGTGTACTGCACTGTCTACATTGCTTTCACTAAAAGATCGGGGGCCTTTCTTAAAGTCATTTAAGCTGCATATAAACTGTAAAAGATACGTTGCTTCCAGATTTAGGAGTGAAGCCAGTGCATAACTACCTTAAACGTGTAATGTTTCTTACATCCAGTAGGGGGAGACTCATCGGATTGCAAGAAGCAGTGTATGTTTAGAAGTCAACAGAAAAACGGCTGCTGACTCGATCTATCCTCTCAGTAAATGCTTCCTTGCTAGTTTCACGTCTTATTTAAAACAACATGATGTTAATTTTGTAAGCTATAGTCTGTTTTTTAAGTTAAAAAGTGTGACAAAGCTCAGAAGCTAGTGTCACCATTCAGCAGTCTTCTTGAAATGCTGCAGGCGTTGTCTGAATAATTTTCATTTCAAAAGTCACTGACATTAAACTGTTAGCTTCAATACAGTTCAGTTTAGTTCAGTTTTATAGATATAAAGCCAAATCACAACAACAGTTGCCCCAAGGGCCTTTACATTTTAAGGTAAAGACCCTACAATAATACAGGGAAAATAATCAGACGACCCTCTGTGAGCGAGCACTTTGGAGACAATGGGAAGGAAAAGCTTTTTTTAAAAAGGAAGAAACCTCCAGCAGAACCAGGAGCAGAGAAAGGTCTAAGTCTCCTAACAGCCTGTGAAGTTTCCACGGTGGGTTCTTGTCCTGCCTAATTGAATCCTACAGCAAGGCTTTGTGAGTCTGATGTTCCATTTGAAATCACATTTCCTCTTCAAGGAATACTTTTGTGAA